GTGCTCTAAAACTCTATCTGTCAAGCTACAAAAGCTTCAAAACAGAGCAGCTAGGGTGTTAACCTATTCTGACTATGACGCTTGTGCCGAACCTCTTTTTGAAATCCTTGGCACAGGCAGCCCAAGCTAAGCTTTAACTAGCAGATTATAGCGATATCTATAATGCATGTAAATACGAAATTTTTGAAAGAAAAAAATAAGTAAAAATCATTTGTCTTATCTTATGATGTGGTCTTAGTTATGAATTTAGGCGAAATTTGACGTTTTTCTTTGATATCTCCCCTCCTTTACTTATATCACTGAAAGGCAGGACAGACCCGCTCGAAAAAATTCAATGGTCAGATCACTTTTTCAGCAAAAACTGCATCTTTTTAGTCTAAATTGAACCGAAAATCCTCGCCATAGACACCACCAACGTTCAACGGAGATTAAGAGTGTTTTAGATCGATTTTCGGTCTCTTTCGCCGGGTGAATCCCGCAAGCCGTGGTCCCCTACTCCACCGCCAAACKCAGCCARAAMCTCGGTTTGGCGAGGACATTTTAATACGCACCACTGGATGGTTCGTCACTGGTCGGGAGAAGAACTACGTAGTTTTGTCTCTTCGGAAGCGAGGCTATTATGACGAACCATCCAGCGGTGCGTATTAATAAAGTGTCCTCGTGATTTAAAATGGACTTAATCTTCAGATTTAAGTCCGTAAAGCCAAGCATGTGTTTTTAGAATGATTGCCAAATAAGCTTTTTACGATTTTTTAAATGCCACAAATAAGCGAAAAATGCCAAAAACGTATTTTTTTATTTTTCGCCAAATCCATGCTTGGCTCTGAAGAGAGGCTTTGAAGAACATAAATATTGAAAATCACGTACATTTGATGTTTTGCGCCGAAGATTATATTTTTTAAATGATACCATACATTTTATGTAAACGTACAAAAACCTTTCCACCGGAAGTAAAAATTTCCGCTTCTCCGATTCTCCGTGTGCAACCACATGATTAGGAATCCCCTGAGAAATGACGAACAAAGCTATCGACGCCATGTTGAATGAATTAACAAGAGAAACTAATGAGGAATGCTTTAGCTTTGTGACTTTCATCCAATATGGCGGCGATGAAGTAACTTGCACGCAAAGAATAGAGGCTTTCCAACACAACAAAGTGAGTTGGAAAGCGTATTCATTGCGGTTCAAAGCAAACTCTTTCATGTTAAGTGAAAGACTATGTATAGTCTCAAGAGACAGGTCTTTGTCATAAGACAATGAGAGTAATGAACTTAGGATATATAAGTACAGAGAATTGTATTTTCTTTCTCTCGCTTGCTGGACAGCCAGTTAAGTGACCAAACTTAGTCATTTAAGTTGAAGAATGATAAGATAGAAGTCATATTCTTTATTGTTAAGCATTGTTTTGAAGTTTTAGTACATTTGTAAGCGCTCTAACCCTCGGAGCCATACGTTGCATCGGTCGAGGACTACGTTTCCAGAGTATTTTTTCCACACAAGGTTTTTCTCCGGTTTTTCGTAGCGGGCAAGTAATATATACAATATGAGCGGGCGATCTGTATGAGGATTTAAAACAGCGAGCTGAAAGCGAGCTGTTTTAAACCTCATACAGATCGCCCGCGAATATTGTATATTACTTATGAAACGTTGAGGTAAACTAGCTCAGGTTTTAAAGAAACTTTTGAAAAAAAAAATCAATCTGACCGAGAAAATCAGAGTTAAAGTTTATGCAAATGAACAAGAAATCTGTATGTAATATACAACTCTCTTCATGGGCTATGATTTCTATTGTGTTTTGCCTTATGAATATTAATGAGTTTTATAACGTATACATATAAACTTGTAAAAACATTTTTTTCTTTTATTAGCTTAGACTAGAAGTATCAGAGTACGTGTAATATGAGTTTACATTGGAAATATGCTGTAATAAAAATTGTGCTCTGCTGTCCACCAGGCAGCAGGCAAAGTCACACTCCAATATTGTCGTGTTGTATTGCGCTAGGCGCTTATGCGGAGAATAGGAATGAATTGGCTAGCATCGGCTCGCATAGCAAGCAGGTCGCCAAGAAACGGATACGTCAGTACACCCTTAAAGCGCGCAATTTTTTCCAGTGCTAGTAAGGGACTCCTGAACTCTAGAAATTTGCAGAATCCTCTCCGATTTGAGCTCAAATCGGAGAAAATGCAAAGTGGGGCTATTGTGTAATAAAGTTTTTCGTGTTTTCTTTTGTTTTTGGTGAGATCTGTACACATGATAGACTGTTGTCAACTTAAACAAAGGTTGTTTGCTTAATTTGAACGGGAATTAAAAAGCGTATTATCGCGCGACAAACTTGATAGTTTAAACTGGAGTCGTTTAGGATGTATCGAGCTTGATCAGAGTTAATTTTCTTACAGAAATGATATTTTGACTAAAATATGTTTTTATGAAGAAAAGAAAAGGGAGAAAATAAAAGTGATCAAGTGGTGTAGTCCGGGACTGCCTGTGTCAAGGCTTTTAAGTAACAATGCGCTAAAGAACTAGGGAACTCTATTGTTCTGCGGCATAGCAAGTTCCCCATGTACGAATGTCTTGGTTTGCACACTGATTATGTATCCATCTGTGGGTAACACATTTTTGAAATAAAATGTGGATAAACTCTATTTTGAAACAAAGTTTCTTTTGTATTAAAAGCTCTTATCCAATCATAAGCACTCAAAACAATAGCCAAAAGATGCTTCTAATCAGTGCAATGTTCCCCACATAGAATTGCCTTAATATTGAAGCTAAAGAAAGCTTTCATGAAAGCGAAAACAGACATTAAATAAAATATTAGAAAATTCGCTAACTTGTTAAATTATGGCAGATTTTCATGTTTTAACCAATGGGATGGATGGATTATACAATGCGCACCTTCTTGCATTCCTGTGTGCCGTTTGCTTCCCTAGTTCTTACTCGGGGCATTACTTAAACCTTAAGGACTTCGTAGTCGTCGTAACCCTTTGGGAATACATGCAGGATTAGTATCCATTGAGAGAAAACTAAAATTATCATCAGTGCTATTGTAACGACTGCGCATTTTTTCATGTTTTCTGTAGTATTTGATAATATCGTTGTGCAAGATAATCTATTGTCATTTAAAGCAGCGTTAATTATACGCTTTGAACGTCAAAAAAAGCTCGCAGCATTCATACTTGACAGTGTGCTTTGAAGAGTTCGTAGCGTTATTTTAAGATTTCACTCTATTTGAAGACTTTATTTTTCATATTTTCAAACAAGATGGATACTAAATGGATAGAATACAAGTGTAAATCAGGACAGACTCTATATTACTACAACAAAGTGACAGGACAACGCAAGTGGCCTTCGTATGCAAATGTAAGTAAGAAAGTCAAAACGACATTCAACCTTGAAATCAGTGATCATTTCAGTGTCCAGGATGACATATGAGTAGCCATGTACGTAGGAAAGTACGTAGTTGTGTACGTACAGTCAAGTACGTAGCTAAGTACGTAGCCAACTACGTATAGTCAATTACGTAGTTACGCACGAATAGCCTAGTACGTAGTATCGTACTTGTATAGATGGTCGAGTACGAACGTGTAGCCGAGAGTACGTGTAGTCAAGTACGTACAATCCCGGACAAAACTGTTGAGACGTTTATTAAAATAGGTCGAATTTCGATGATCTATTTGCCTATTTCTGTGCAACTCTCCCCCTTTCCCCCTCAAATCAATGTTGAAAGGACTGAACAATCAGGCACACCCTTCTAGCATCACGTCACACATACAACATTGCTTGGTGGGGGGAGGGGAGGATCAAAATCAGTGATTTTTTAGAGATACGAGAAATGGGATATTTTGCAGTGAAAAAATGCCAGTGTCTCAACTAGTTTTGTCCGGGATTGTAGTTACGTATGAGCTAAGTACGTAGACAATTACATATAGCAAAGTACGTAGTTACGCACTTGTGGCCGGGTACGTAGCAACCTACGTGTATATGTTGTCGAGTACTTAGTTACGTACGTGTAGCCGAGTACGTAGTTACCTACGTATATATGCAGTCCGTACGTAATTGCGAACGTGTAGCCGAGTACGTTGTTAAGTACGTAAGTTACGTAAAAGAGTACGTAGCAAAGTACTTAGTTAATAATGTAGACAAGTACGTATGACAAAAGTACGTATGGCAAGGAAGTATGACAAGTTTGTAGCAAAGTACATAGTAAATTTTGTAGACAAGTACATAGACAAGTAAGAAGCACCAAAATCAAAAAGTCAAGTGTTTGAATGATATTATTCATAACGTGAAATGCAAAACTAGCCTGCGTTCAGCCGAACCACAACTGTCATTGTGTTTGTCTGCGAATTAGCGACGAAGATCGCGTTTAGCTTTGAATTCTAACGAGTACGCTCATTGGCTACAATAAACTGGCGCCAGTCTGATTCGAAAAGTGAAAACAACAAAATGGCCGACCTACTTTAAAGTCCGAAGTACGTTGGCATATGCGCTTGCCCATCCTCGGGAACCCAGGGGTAATCTTATGTCGTTCGTTCTTCACTCCCAGAAAAATACCCCTATGCACGAAGTCTGTTAGACCTTGTTCTCGATTCGAAATTCGGAATGGCGGCCAGTAAGTTAATCAACCAATCAGAATGTTCGAGTGAATCACTCGAACAATCAGAAATTTACCGCCCGCCATTCGTGCCCAGGGGTATTTTTTCTGGGAGTGAGGAACGAACGACAGAAGATAACCATTGGGTTCCCGAGGATGGCGCTAGCCTTGCGCGAGCCTTCTGTAGCCAATGAGCTTACTCGTTAGAAATAAAAACTAAATAGCCAATAAGAGCGAAGTACGTACATCCTAGTACATCTTCGTCGATGATTCGCGGGCGAGCACAACGACAGCATTGGTTCGACTCAACACAGTCTAGCTTGATTTCTCAGCAGTTTCATTAGTTTTTCCGAAGTTTGTCAATTGAAATAATTTATCCTTCAGTGTTCAACAGAAGACGAGAGGGGCATGAACACTCAGCCAGTCATTGGCAAACACTTGTGTACACATACAGATATTGGTTGTCCTTCCAGTTTATGGCAAAGCACAGATACTTCACCTCAACAAAAACCATTTGTTTTCCATGCAGAAGGTGCTAAAGATGAAAAAGACAGTAGCATAGATGGAGATGGAATTATTGATGCAATGTTGAAAGTTCTTGAGGAAATAACTGATGAAAATGACGCTGAACATTTGGTAGAGATTACAAGAGACAGCAACATTGAAAGAACAGATTTCAACAATAAAGGTAGCGATGAGAATATGGAATATGTACTTCAAGAAGGAGATAGGAATGACACTGAATGTTTGGTTGGGTTTACAAGTGACAATATCAATGAAGCAACAGAAGTCTCTGTTTATCACAATGGTCAGAAGGAGAATGCTTTGTCTACAGTGAAAGAAAACAAAATTCCTTTTAATTGTTCTTACTGCTGCAAGAAATTTAACTTCAAAAGTAGTTTGATTGTTCATCTAAGAATACACACTGGAGAGAAACCATATGAATGCTCATACTGCAAAAAGAAATTTATACAGAGGGGTCATTTGCAAAGACACGTAATATTGCACACCGGAGAGAAAGCATTTGAATGTTCGTATTGCCAAAAAAGATTTGCCCGTAAGACAACTTTACGAACTCACCTAAATACGCACACTGGAGAGAAACCTTATGAATGTTCCTTTTGCAACAAGAAATTTGCACATACATCAAATTTGACAGTTCATCTAAGAACACACACAGGAGAGAAACCCTTTGAATGTTCTCACTGCATAAAGACATTCACAACTAAGAATGGTTTAGAGTATCACTTGAAATTACACACTGGAGCGAAGCCATTTCAATGTTCATACTGCAAAAAGAAATTCTTACAAATGTCAAGTATGAAACGTCACCAAAGATCACACACTGGAGAGAAGCCCTTTGAATGTTCTTACTGCAAAAGGACATTCTCGATACTGTCCAATATGAAACGTCACCAAAGATTACACACTGGAGAGAAGCCTTTTCAATGTTCTAATACTGCAAAATGAAATTTTCACCAAAGATGGGCTTGCAATGGGAGCATCCATGGTGTGCATTGGGTTTGTTGACAGGATTTTATAGATGTGTCTATTGTAGGATTCTTTTCGATCAATGGGGGGAATGACTTCCGGTGTTACGTGCTCACTGAAATCCGTGATCCAAAATAAAGAAACATGGTTAATGACAGCGAAAGCGATTTTGTTCTTGTTTTTTTGTGGAATAAGTGTGATTAAAAAGAGTCCACTACTTAATTAAAGGAAAGAATGAAGAAAAATCTAAAAATAGACACGTCCATGAAAACGTCATGACACTCCTAGTGACACACAAATATCACACTTAGACTTTAAACACTTGAAATATGTAATATTTGAATTTATGAAAAATATATTATTATAAATTGGGGCACAAAATTTGGTCGTATCAAAAAAGTATGCTTCCGGATTTTTAAAAACATACCTTTTAAACTGACAGTAAGGTGTTGATTTTTAAACATTTTTGAAAAGAAAAAGTATGAAAGGTGAGCCACGTTTATATTCTATATACCACGCAGTAGTACTCTCGACCTTATTGTAAGGTGAAGAAAGCTGGATACCACGTACCGTACAGGAAGAGAAGAGACTAACAGCATTACACACCAGATGTCTTCTATCACCACAAGAATAAAATGTACTCAGTTGAGCCACTCACTTTACCTATATAAACACGCACCATTGTACAAAGGATATTTTTATGTTTTATGCATTTTGTGTTTTTATTCTAAGATATCAGATGAAAATAAATAAATAAAGATTTTGATTGTACTGCATTATTTAAGACAGTTTAAACGTCTTGCTCATTTTTATTCCGATGTCAAAGTCTTAGGAATGTACTTTTATTACGTGGGCTTCCACGCACACGTCTTAAAATGCAACTGGCGATTTCGTCGTGGTCGTCGTGGTGGTGAAGTGGTGAATATTACGCTTCAAATTGGTAGCGCATCGATAGCGCATGCGTTACAGTCTCAGTTTCCATGGAGATGTCAAAATAAACCAATCAGCGATTTTTGGTAGCGCCTGCGTTGCAAATGGACTGCAGTCTCAGAATGGAAACAAAATGGCTGACAGACGGCGGCAAAAAGTTGTCTCGTTTCAAATGGTTCTAAAATGTAGCTAAAATGCTCTAAAGAGCTGAAAATC